AAGCATATTTTATACAATTATTCCCTTTAATTGTTTATACAACTGTACATGATCTTTTGTTACCGTCTTTTAGTTCGATAGACACGATTTTTCATATAACTTTTCTAATTCGTTGAAGCTGCGCCAAATTCAAGCATATTACAAGTTTAGGTTAACAATTTAGCGATATTCTACCGAAAAACTGTTTGACACAAAATCTTATTTATAAATTTAAATTATATCGTTATTTTGGAAAATACTAGGACTTGAATTAATTTTGAGGAATTTACAATAGATGGCGTAACTTATGCTAGACACTTCTTTAACTATATTCACGTCTAAGCTCTCTCGTTAGGTTGTACTTATTGTGTAAACAACATATTTATTCTCGCTCCGATGATGTAAATAATGAGCCAACAAAACACCATTTGCAGAAAGTTTTACTCTTTCTGTTTAACTGAAAGAAAAGTGCTGTTGAAAGTCATAGAGTGCCGTTGGAAACTTACAATGAACATACTTCATCGATAAAACATGTGAGTATTGGTTTCGATGTTTTAGAAGTGGTGATTTCGATACAGCTGACAAAGAACGTTCTGTCAACAGAAAAAGTTCGAAGATGAGGAATTATTCGACCAAGATTTATGTCAAATGCAAGATGAACTGCTGAATCGTTGAATGTTGATCTTAGAACAGTTTCCAGACATTTAAATACACTCGGTATGATTCAAGAGTAAAAAAATTAGGTGCCATACGATGTTGAACGGCGATTTTTCATGTGTCATTGATTCAATGGCAAAAAAGAAAGGGATTTTTGCATTGTATCGTCACTAGCAATGAAAAATGGATACGCTATGATAATCCTAAGCGTAGAAAATTGTGAGTTGTTCTTCTGATACGGAATCCGTATGCTGCCAGAAAAATGGGAAAAAGTAGTAGCTAGTGATGGACAATACTTTGAAAAATAATAATGTACACGATTTTTCACAATAAAGCCTAGAATTTACCAAAAAATCCTTCGAAATTAGTTCACAGTCCTGGTAGATATTTTGCATGTTATTAAAATATTTCGACTACTATTTGGTCCAATAGAAAATACGTAATTAGAGTAATACTAACCCAGTTATAAACAAAGTTTTTCCAAAACTACTCTGAGCAATAAAAATTTATGTCAAACCCGTCGGTCTTTCTAACGGAAACTACTATTGCCTATCGAACTGAAAAATCCCTCAAATAGAGTATATAAACAAAATATTACGTTACAACTAAATATTGCACACAAAACTCGTGTTTTACAAGGTTGCTTAGCACCAATCCTATCATATCACAATCTTTTAGTTATACTCACCCACGTTTTCTTACTAATGCCAATATATATATAAGAAATCTTTAGTATAGATAGTATATCGTTATAAAAACTAACAACAAATATTTTATATCCTATCAAAGAGTTCATAAAAACTAGTATTAATATTAAATTAACCTTTTGTAAAACATATATTAAGCAATCTTTTCTGGAGAAAGAACAAAACCCTTATGACCACACCTATATAACACCAAAATGTAACCAACTTAGTATGTACAATATAAGGTACATGTCAAAAAAAACTTATCACGCAAGTTTAATTTAAGAGAACCTACTCCTCAAGTACACCGTTCCCACAAAGCGCAAAACAAATAAATTTGGTATAATGTCCAACCTACATAAATATTTTAAATACAGAATTTTTCACCATTATACTCAAAAATATGAAACTAGAACTAGAAAGAAAGTCCCTCATAAAATTACAAACTTATTATTGGACGAAAAGTGTCATTTTTACAATTCACGTCTGCAAATTACTTCACGTCCGCTATAATCACGAAGAATAAATTAATAAGTGTGAAATAATAGCGGATGTGAAGCAATTGTGTCCGTGAAGTATTTATATATGTAAAATATTTCATGACTGATTTAATTTATGATATCCTACTTTTTTATGGCGTAGGAACATAGAAAATATTCATACCGACAAATAATTTTTTTGCACACTACAGAGCGAGAAAGAGAGAATAATACACTACAGACAACAATGTCATTCACATGTGTAAAGAGCATTTTCCCCTCTATATCTCTGACTCTAGTAGGTTGCATTTTTTTCACTAATTTGGATAGAACACCTTTTTATATAATCTCTATAACGTTCTACGGGTGTATATCTCTTATAACAAGGAAGACATATTCAAAAACATGCCATCATTTGTTTACGTCAGCGGTATTCAAACTGTGTTCCGCGGAACCCTGGGTTTCCCCGCAACTTCTTTGGGGGTTCCGCGACTTTGCCAAAAATTCAAAATTTTGAAATTAACAATATTGATATTACAAAATTCAAAAAAATTTATACTCTTAAAACTAGTATTTATAAATATATTTTATAATCATTAAAAAATGTGTTTGAAAATATTTTTAGATCTGGGGGTTGCTCAAAACAATCGAAAGGTTACGTAAGTCCGTAAATGTTTGAAGACCGCTGGTTATTATATATTAGTTATTTTAAAAAGAGTGATACTGTAACTGGCAAAACAGAATTACAATTTTCTTTTTTTAATATATTAATTTTTTTAGTTTCCCTCGTATGGCAAGAATATACCAGCAAATTTTTGACCGGTAAGCATAATTTTCGAGTGTAATGATTTGATTTGCAACACACAAAATTTTGGTCGATTAATTAGAAGTTTTAAAAAAATTCTTATAAACCTAAACCAAAAAATACGTCTTAACTACTTAATAGATTACTTAAAGAAATCCGCTTATGCTTGTGAAACCCTTTAAGTCTTCAATCACTTTAATAACCCTGTTTTATATCTACAATTTATTAACAGTCTCAAATTTTAAGGGTCGCGTCGATTAAACGGCGCTTTGTGGAAACAGGCGATCACGGTGAATTTCATTCACGCATTTCGAGTTTGGGTTCTCTCATAACAAATTCTTACATTTAACAGTAATGTTTCGATTAATTTTAGAGTTAAAATTAACTGTAAAATTTTACCAACTAATTTAACTAGTCAAAGGCCGCGAAAAATACCTCTATGTGTAGGTATTATGTAAAATTCGAGATATTCTTAACCTTATAATTAATTTTATAATAATAAAACTTCTAGTTATATATATATTAATTAATTGAGATGAGATGATGAGGTAATACAAAGTAATAAATTGCACTTAAAACAGTAAAAACTAGTTAGTTTGGCAATAACATATTTAAATAGAGATAAATAAAAATAGGATTTAGAGAAACGTGGAAAGTAAGTCAAAATATAGCTTCCACAAAAGTATGGTATGGATCTTGCGACGACTTTTACTTAATTTCCACGATGATAACGACTAACCTCGTCTACTTTACTTCTACTGCCTTTTTTTGTCCTTTATTCGCCTAATATAAATGATTTTACGGACGGGTATAAGCTATATTAACTATGATGAGTTGTTTTTTTTTTTTAATTGGGTCATATTCCAAAAAACATCACAGATATCTTACTTTTCTTAGGTTATTAAAAATCTTTATTCCTAGTCTTCAACACAAATATATTTACTTAAAGAGATATCGCTTGGCGAATATTACACTCAAAGATAGTATAGACTAGAATAGAAAAATTTTGCATCGAAATTTATTCAAATTGAAGGGCTTAAATATATTTGTGTCCAAGGATTTTATGTACATATAATAATTGCAACACACACCAACGTCGGTTTCGTAAAGTATTTCAATTGACCTTTCTGAATTGTTAGAGTCGGTACAATGGAGAGTACTTGAGCACAAAATAGGACTGAAAACGTCTGCTGGGTATGGAAACGTCGCTATGTTGATAGTACCGTTGCAGGCTCATACTTTTCTAAACATTCCTATCTCTTTCGAAAACTTTAAGAGATAGTGGCACTGTCCAGAAAAATAAAAAACAAAAGCAAAATGCTTTCTATTGAGGATACAGGGTGTTAAAATGTTACCCAAACGGAAATCAACGGAAAATAATATAACATTAAAATAAATATAAAAAAAATGACAAAAGTTATCTTGTGAATGCTATGCCCAGCCACCAAATTTCAATATTTTATATTTCATAACGAATTTTCAGTTTTTTCAGATTTTTCAAGAACGCCAGAAAACTTGGAAGTGTTTATTTCGCTCTCAAATGTATGAAAGTATCGCATTTTAATCTGATTTAACGTACATTGTAACTCTTTAGGTTTACGAGATACTAAGGGCAGGAAATTAAAAACGGTCCACTCTGTATAAATTATTTTAAAAATATTTTGTCCTAGAAATTAAAGTGTTTTTGCCAAATTCAGATGTTTAATAAAATAATTAAAAAGAAAGTTTTATCAGTTTTTACAAAATAATTTAGATTTCCAAAAAAAAAACAACTTGAAAGACACGTAATACTAAAATTTGGCAAAACAAAATTATTTTTCAACAATTTTTTTTAAACATTAACACCCTGTATCAAAAAATTATGCTGTGAAATGATTAATTCAAAATTTCAAAACCAGTGCCAAAAATTCTTTTGGTTTATGAATTCAGAAAATTATTTTGGTAAATAGGCCAACCAATAGAGCGAAAAAAGAGGTTGATTTTAAACTTAAATATTACAGCAAATTTCATGTATTTTCTTTTGAAAAATACTTGGTAAATGAAAACCCAAGTGATTTCCCCAGTAAAGTCGTGAACAATTTTTTTCTAAACAATAAAAACTGCAAAAAAGTTAATTTTTTTGAATTTTTTTATAATATCTCAAAAAATAATGATGGAATCGTCTTACTCTCAATAGGACTTTTGTAGAGGATAAAAAAAATCTATAAAATGGTTTTTTGTGCGACCCGATCGGTTCATTTTTTACAGAGAAAATCCGGAAAAACCTCTAAAATATACTTTTTTCAAAAATTCATAACTCCGTCTAATTTGAAGCTGGAAAAACAATCTCGCGGAAAATGACAGATAATAATACGCAGTTTAATCGTGCGCAAAATGGTTTCTGTCCGATGCATAGTTTTTGCACAATTGCATTATAAACAAATTAGGGTCTTTTTTGTACAGCGGATTTTCTCTGTAAAAAATAAACCGATCGGGTCGCAGAAAAAACCGTTTTATATTCTCTACAAAAGTCCTATTGAAAGTAAGATGATTCCATAATTTTTCGGGATATTATAAAAAAAAAATGTAATTTTTTACAGTTTTTATTGTTTTCTCTTGGTTGGCCTAAAATATTATCAGATCCACAAAATATGCCAATTATGTTTCTATAGTTACCAAAATTTTCAATGAATATGATTTTAACTGTTTTTTAGGTGCATTTTTATGAGTATGTCTTGCAAACAAATCGTTTCCTCTAATTGAGGACGCGGAATCATTGGATTAAAAAAATCTGTACAAAACCGCTAAAGTTAGGCTACCCCCCCATCAGTTTGCCAACAGACATTTAGTGGTTTTTGGCTTAGTGCAAAATCAAATTTCAAATTAATTTAAGAAAAAAAAAATACTAATTAAAATTAACTAATTCTCTCACGAAAAAAAAAATATATATTTTTAAGAAACTAATATTTTTATCCCATTTCAATAATTCTAAAAGCGCTAAAGATGTAACGGAATATTTATAATTCCGTAATCTTCCTTAATTAATTGTTGCCAGTGCTGACTTTACGCTTTCGTCCAACTTTTAAGGTTAAGCGAGGTTAAATCTTTCACGTTAAACAGCCGTTTCCAGATTGAATTTTCTGAAAACACAATAACTGCAGGTAGCGTTTAACCTCCAACATTTATAAAAAAATAAACATTTCAAATAAATAATAAACTGTCAATGTAAATAATGTAATATTTTAAACGTCCGCGATAACAGTACGTTACTGTATTTTTTACATCAAAATGCGAACGAGACCTTTTTAGTTACTTCAAGTAGCAACGTTTCCATATCAAATTTATAATTAATCGTGTATTCTTCATTAACAAATACATTTTCAACATTGCACATGCAAGTATAAAAAATATTCTGCAAAACAATCGCCATTAATTTTAGCGTCGACAAAACCTTCTACCGAGTTTGAAAATATGCTTTCCATAAAAAATATATAAAAAAAAGTGGTCAATTACCTTTTTCTCAGTAGCATAGTACAGATAAAGAAAACGGTCCGTAATGGAAACTCTTTTTGTGCATTTTTAGAAAGTCATTAGCAGCAAAGTCCACCGGGCCACTGAAGGTACTAGGAAACTAGCTAACGAATTATTTTAGCTATGATTCACACATCGCCTTATAGTAAAAGTAATAGTAAAGCCAAAATCAATCGGCCGAACTATCGTTGGCTATCGCAGGTGGCTCAAACTTTGGCGGTTCGAATTTTCTTGTGTCGGGGTTGAAGCGCGGATGCTTAAATTTACAATGCGTCCGGAGATTGTCACTGCGGGTGTACGTGGCTCGGCAGAGGGGACACTCGAATCGCCCCGGAAAATGTACGTGATAGTGATTTCGGATGTGCGTCACTATTTTCCCACATAGCTTGCAGCGGTGCAGGTTGCAGCCGCCAGGCAACTTGTCAAACGTTAGCCGCATGTGCCAGGTTTTTGAACCTGCAAAAACGAGAAAAATAACTTTAACTATTGTGTGGGCAAATTATCTATTAATTAGTGTTAATGATTAATAGTGACAGCAAGGTAAAATAGTGACAGTGTGTGCACCCCAGAGCAAAAAAGAAACTCAAATCCATAAGCTCCGACTTTTAAGGCCTTTACAATAATTAACTTCACGTTATATATACACAGGAGGCATATGAGCTCATAAACAAACTTTACGTAAAAGCAGAAAAATCACTAGAATAGAAGTGTATCGCCAATTCACAAAGTACGAGTTTAAACGCAAACGAAAAGTACTTTTCACTAATTTTACTATTTCACACATATATCTGCATTGAACTAATCCGAAAAAACCTGTACTTTACCTTTAAAAACATAGAATTAGTCGTAAACATCACAAAAATTTTTTGAATTTACAAAAACACTAAAACAAATTATTACGTTTCCAATCAAGCACAATCCGTTAAAACTGAAACATGAGTTTGCTCACGACTGACTTACTGTGAACCCGTTGCAGAAGTTGAAATTAGTCGCTAAAGTGTGTATATATAAGACAAAATGGTACTCCCTTGTGATACGAGCTTATGGATTGATGCGGCTTCAGTCTCAGATATGTCTGAACTGTATATCTGTTACTGAAAAAAAAGATAAGCTGCCGAGCCATATATTTTAGTATACGAGATTATTTGCAGAAAATTGAAAACTTTACTACATGCAATGCGAAGAAGTATTTATTAATTCAAGAGAATGGTGTAAAAAAGAATACCCTGCACCAGTGTCTGTCTTCGACAGATTTACCTAAGATATCTAGAAGTTGATGGACCATTACGTTTTCACGTATATTAGGCATTTTCGATTTATATACAGGAAAAGGGAGATAATATTCTTGCCCTTCAGTTTTACATGGATGAATTTAAGGACAAGAACATAACCTCATACTTTTGGAATGGTAGTATGAACTTAACCTAAATATTACGATAGGTATGACATCAATGTCAACCTTATTCTTTATTTTTATTTTATACTGAAAAGCTAACAGTACAAGACAACATTCGAGCACTATTTCAACAAAGCTGCCATTTACTTTTAGCTTTCGAATACAAATTAAATGTTTTCAGCTTTATTTACCAATTTTTTACACAATATATCTACCAATAAATTGGGCAAGTTGTGTTGGTAGATTTAATTAAAAAATTGTGGTACGATTTATAGATTCAATAAATTCAATTGTAAAAAGTTGTCAGAACTGAACAATTTCTTGAAGAATTTATTGGTCAAAAATTGGTAGGTAGGTAAAACATATATGCTGTCTTAATTTACTGGCGTATTTGAGTGTTTTCTAATAATTATACAGTAGTGCCAATATAAGTTACGTTTTAGAATTTTGACACTTTTTATTTTAAATAATAAAAAAATATATTGCATATCCGTGGTCATTATTGTATTTGCGTTAGTTTGCTGTTCTCATTGATTTTTATTCGGTGGATTATCGTCATTAAAATAATTGGCCAAACTTCCTATAAATGTGTCGTTTTCGATATACAGTGTGTTCAAAATTAATGAAAATATATGGACTACTTCAAATTGCAAAAATAATCAAAGGAAGCCATGTTAATAATAGTTTATTATATTCATAGATGCGATTATGTGAATAGTCATTGTTTTAATTTAACAAATAGTTTGATCTTTTGCTATTTCGTAACAAATAGACATAGTGTAACATTTTACCATTTATCTCAAAAACAGTGTAGTCTAGCAGCGATAAGACGTTTTTGTCGACCCCTAGTGTCCTATCACAATATCGAGACAAATTTGAAATTGTTTTGACAAAAAATAAAAACAAGGGGACAAAAAACACTATCCACATCATCACATTATTATGCACACAAGTTTGTGGGCAATAAAAAAATAACTGTCCATGCCAAAGAACCCCGCACAAAATCAATGGAAAATGGGTCCCAATCGATTTTGCTGAAATTGCAGTGTTATAGTTTTTGACTTTCTGAACAAAAGTTGTCATGGGCCCAAAGTGATCCTATGAATAGTTTCTGAGATAAAGAGGGGGGAAAAGTGTGTGATTTTGGCTATCTAAGGTCATCTGGAGGTCAGGTAAAGATCGTTTCAAGGTCAAACTGAAGAAAAGACTTGTATCGAATTTTGACTAGTGAGTGTATAGGTTTTTGGGCTCACAGAATCTGAATCTGGAGATAGCTTAAGCCTGAAGGTCACCAAGTCAATTCAAGGTCATTTCAAGATGAAACTAAAGGCTTTCAAGCAGTGCGTATACAAGTTTTTTTTTGGGGGGGGGACTGAATTCGGGGTTAGCTTAGCCCTGCAGGGTCACATTTAGGTAAAGTCAAGATCATTTGAAGGTCAAAGTAAAAAAAAGGCCTTTCACGAATGTTAACCTGTAAGTATGTATTATTTTGTGGTCGCTGAACCTAAATTCGGGCACAGCTTAGCCCTATAAGGTCATTTCATTTGACATAATCTCAATTCAAGCCCCACAGGTGACCTTATAGGGCTAAGCTATGCCCGAATTCAGTCCCCCCTCCCAAAAAAAAAACTTATATTCGCACTGGTTGAAATTCGATACAAGCCTTTTCTTTACTTTGATCTTGAAATGACCTTGAATTGACTTGAAGGTGATCTTTAGGGTTAAGCTATCACCAGATTCAGATTCTGCGAACCCAAAACCCTATCCACCCACCGGTCAAAATTCGATACAAGTCTTGTCTTCAGTTTGACCTTGAAACGACCTTTACCTGTCAAAAACTATAACATACCGCAATTTCAGCAAAATTTTTTGTGCGGGGTTCTTTGAAGGAAAGTTTGAGACTTTTTTTTGTTTAAAAAAAGTTATCGACACCCTGTATCTTGAAAACAAAGCGTTTCCAGACACGTTTATAAAAACTTTTTTTATGACTTATGAAGACGAATCTGCCATTAAAATTTGACCAAGTATTTTAGCATATAATGTTAAAAAAATTGGTTAATTTATTGCAACATGTTAAAATGTTCCACTAATACAGCTAATTGTAACAACTGTTTTTTTTTTACTAATATCTTGAGTCAGAAATAAAGACAAAAAGTAATAAAAGTAATTTAATTAAATTAATACTGAGGAGGAATTCCAATATACAACAAAACTATTAGTTTGGCCAAGTATTATTATTACACGCTGTATATGTTGGCAGTTTAAAAAAAAATCGACAATTTATTGTAACATGTAACGTGGTGCTAGCAAGTCCTCACAATTTTTTTAAAATAAATTTTTGACATGTAAATATAAAAAAAAATAAGTTACCTTACTGAATTAATAATGGGAGAAATATTGCAATGTGCAAAAAAACTCGCCACAAAATTTATCACAAGAAAAATAACAATGCGTCTTTAATAATCTTTATTCACATCTAGATTTACAATTCTATCGGAAAAGAGATCAAAGGGGAAAATCGGGCCGCTATGTTTAAGTCTTATATGCGCTTTCATATTGTCTTTTCGAGTGAAACATTGCTGGCACTGAGGACACTTGTTGACTTGCGGGCGGTGTATGGCGGAATGGTGCCACCTGTTGGTCACCTTTTTACCACAGATTCTACACGAGTACATAGACGGCGTGTCCGACAGTCGCTCGAACATCCCGCAGTAATCAGTCGATGGGGATCGAGTATCCATGGATGACAGGATTTTCATTTGTTCTGGTGGATGGTATGGTTGGCCGATCGCTATCTGTTCCCGCCATTTAGCTGGAACAGAGAGAGGACCATCATCACCATCTACCACAACAATACATGGCAATAATGCGAACTACTTTTGTTAATTGTTTACAAGTTGCCCAACCTGTATATCGAATTTTTACATGCTCCTTCGTTTTAGGGAAATTGTGGCTGCAAAATATTGTCAAATATCAAGTTACAATAATGTGCCTTTTCTCTAAAACAGTTATTAGTGACTTGGCACAGGCATTTTTTTTACCGGTTTTTAATAATCAAAATTTTTTGAAAACCCCCAAAAAAAATCTGTGATAAGATCAAATATAAAAAAATTGCTTTGAGATTATGAAACTGATTTAATAGTAAGTTTTTGAAAAAAATATCATAGGAGCCGTCACTTTTATTAGAAAATTTCTTGGTCTTAGTTTGTGGACACCTTGTGTACAAACAATTTGTGTGTACCAAGAAATGTAGAAGTTTGGATATAAGTCAGTTTAAATTTGTACCTAAATAAAACTACACGAAAACCTCTCAGATTAGGCAACTTTAAATCAAACTACTTTTTTCTACTTGAATTAATTGTGATTTGAAAAATCTCATTCAAAATAATTAGTCTAATAAATTAAATTGACTCGTTTTAATTTCTCTTACATAATAAAGCAACAAATTAAAAAAATCTAAAATAGGGAAATTCATACATTAGTGTTTCGTTTTTGACTAACAAGGTATGCAACTACAAGAGCATGCTTCAATTACTGCGTTGTTCAGACAGGTCCAGTTAGTATTTTACTTAAATAACAAAATTTGTGTAATTATTTTACGATATTACAAAATAAAACCTATTTTTGAAATATGTATATGTTATGTTTCACGTCAAGCGTATCACCGACCTGGACAAAAATTGCGTGGAACTATCGAGACGTGTAAAGGCTTAAAATGTTTGTCTAGTAAGAGGCTTTTAAAAGCATAGTGGTACTTTTCAAAAATCCAAAATGATGGACCCAACATGGCGGTCAAAAAACCGATTTGGTAACTGAATTTAGAAAAATTAACCGATTTACACCAAACTTAGTATACGGGGGTTTTTGAGGTCACTGATTACGAATCTAAGGTCAGATTTGCAAAACTCAAGATGGCGGATCCATGATGGCGGACGAAATTTCGGAAAATCAACCGATTTCCACCAAATCTGGTGTATGGGGGGTTTTCGGAGGTCGTTGAAAAATGACAAATCCAGTATGGCGGATAAAATCTTTCGCCATATTGAATCCGCCATCTTAAATTTTGCAAATCCAACCTAAGATACATGATGAGTGACCCCAAAAATCCCTATATTACAAATTTGGTGGCAATCATTCGATTTTCCGAAATTTCGTCCGCCATCATGGGGATCCGCCATCTTGAATTTTGCAAATCTGATATCGGATTCGTAATCAGCGACCTCAAAAACTCCCGTATACCAAGTTTGGTGTAAATCAGTTGATTTTTAAAAATTCAGTCACCAAATTGGTTTTTTGACCGCCATGTTGGATCCGCCATTTTGGATTTTTTCATCCAACCACACCAGCTTTTAAGAGATGTCCCTCAACTACAATTTGAGCTAAAAAATGACCCGATTGGTTGCGAATTTTTTTTCGCAACCCTTTTTTGCAGTACACTCGGGTTTTCTTCAACTTCCGGCCGCCATATTGGGTCCGCCATTTTAGATTTTTGAAAAGTACCACTCTGCATTTGAAAGCCTCTTACTAGACGAATATTTTGAGCCCTTACAAGTCTCGTTCGTTCCACGCAATTTTTGTCAAGGTCGGTGATCCGCTTGACGTGAAACATCCAGTATATAGATACTGATCGTAAATTACGAGGTATATCCACAAAGTAAGAGTACTGAGACTCTGGTACCCTGTGGTTTTTGTTTCTGACAAAATTAGCAACATTGCATTTAAGACCAAAATGTTGACAGCAGAACGCGCCCTCATTTGTCTTACTCAGTTGAGAACCGTTGCTGTAGTGGCATGTTGAAATAAGTGCCGCTATTCTATACTTGCAGAAATAAAGAGTGTTCAATATTTCTCTAGCAAGGATAGATTGCAAATGCTTTATTTTTTGGATTTTGAATACAAAATTTTCAGAAATTCGGTATATTCAACCCTTTTTCAAGGACCGTTGGAATATGTGAATTATAATAATCTACAGCGACCTTTTTAATCTCTTCAAACATTTTTTTGTTATGACGACACCGACTCTTTTTTCGAGAAAGACAACTTTATATATTTTGATTTATGCTTTAATCTTTCGATCTGATGAAATTTCCTCTGTATCCGTAACTGTTTGTGTGAAATTTATATCTCTAGTGCTCAATAGCTTTATGCAATGTATTCACTCGTAAGACAATATTTTAAAGTCCCCATTTCCTTTAAATTTACAAGCACACAAGTAAAAATGTGCAAGCCCCGAATTCCGATAAATATGTAATATACATTTTCACCAAACTTTAAAATTCAGTTGTAAAAAAACATTTTTATTATAATTAATTCTACATTTTACACACTTATTTTTACATATACAATATTAAATCCTGTGTTAACTTTATAACATTGTTGTGTGTATCCCTGCCCAGATCCTAAGTATACAGATACGAGAGTTTCGTTTCTTCATAAAAAACTTCTTCCAGTGTACATTTTCCATCCTCGAAATAATTTTAGTTGCACAGAAATATCCCAATTTTTAGGTGCTAGTAATGAAACATGGAATAATCTAAAAACTAATTGTGATTTGAAAACCAAAAGTACTATTTTTAAAAACACGTGTATATTATTATAACTGATATATACAGTTACGATTTATATTGTCATACTCACATCGTTTTCCATATTATATCACCACCGTGTCAAAACTGTACACTGTGTCGTTAACACTACACTATCATTTCGATTTATTATTCAGACACCATTTTCATTTCATAGAATAATTGTTCATAGAGCATATTGTAAGTGATAGAAATGAATAGAACATAAGTATTAATAGAAAATATATACAAAAAAGAGTTAATACCAAATAACATGCTTAAAAATTATGTCTACTCGATAAAGGCTTCTCAAATTTAAATTTTTGATACATCTGAACTCGCAAGATGTATAGGTTTCAAGTAAATGTAAAGGAAGAGTATAATATATGAAGAAAATTGTTAAAATTTATTACATTTCTTTGTATTGTCAACTTGAAACTCAATGTCAATTTTTGTGTGATGTAGAATTATTGTTGACATAATATTAAAATTGTAGAAAAAAAAAGTCTAGTGGTATTATGTAATTAAATGTTCGTTTAATTAATTAAAATATAAAATATAAATTTTAATATTGATTAATGCATTTACAATAGGCTCGTTTCCATAATTGAAATTGTATACATATAGAATTTTTTAATGTGACATTATATTAAAAAACGTTGATAAATTGCATAATTACTTTTTTTTGTTTATTAATATGAAAGTATGAGAATGATGACATTGTTACTAAAAGCTTCATGTAGACATTTTCTTTACAATATAAATTTGCATTAGCAATGTCACGTCTTATGTGTTATGACCAACCAGTCGCAGCGACTATTTACAATTCTACAATTTACTGAATTTAATTTCAATGAAATACCAATTCAAATATCTCAGTTCATCGATGGAAGGGAAAGCTACAATTGTTTATACCATTTTTTGTACAATTTCTGTATTTTTCTCCATATATTAAAACAAACTTGGGACATGGGTACATATTTTTATGTATATACATTTTTTTCCTTTTCTTTTTATCATTCAAAGTCAGTAACGAAAATAAATAATTCTTACGTTGTAAAAATCAGTATCAAAAGTTGGATTGGTTGGACACTTTGATCAATAGCACTGATAATTCTGAACTAATATAAAACTATCAAATTCCTTCACATCATTTAAACAAAATGAATACCTATACAATATTCAGATATTATAATTTGCAACAATGTTATTAAACAAACGTACCAAAAAAGTTAAATGCTGACAAGTCTTCCTCGGGTACTCATCTACTAGCATGAAAAAGGATAAATAATAAAATGGCTTGAGTAAATGAAAAAAAAAGCTAGACATGCAGGCCTTTATCTGCTGACACTTACCATCTATAGTATCTGTTATTTCAGGAGGAGGTATAGGTGGTGTTTCGTTATCCGGTAGTTCTGGTAGCTGATGCTGACCCAACAGCTTGGTCTCATCTTGGTGAACACTTACACTTCCACCCTATTTGTAGAAGACATCATTGAGATTATTATTACATTTACGACTTAATTAAACATAATATCAAATTTGAAACAGTACTAGCTTAATGTACGAAACTAAAAGAATGACCACGGTACTAAAAATATCTCCATGTTTATAGAAATTAGTAGTTACATTTGGCTATTCTATTGTACAGTGTTTTTTTTAACTGTTAGCAAAACTGAACTATAAGATAAAGCACTTATACTCTGATATACAGGCGGTTTCCTAAAAAACACCGCAAGCCATAACTCCGTTATTTATAACGGAGTTATGATTTTAAAAAACAAAAAATTAAATGAAATGCCTCTAAATACATTATAAAGCGAGCCTATTAGAGCTCATTTACTATTTTTTTTTTTTGAAAAATGATAGTCAACTTTTTTTTTCAAATGGCAATATAGTTTTTTTTGTTATATATTATTGTTAACTTTGATGCTTTATTATTATTAGAAATTTCCCGAATGGAAGTTCTTGGGTTTTCTTCAACGTTAAGAAAAACACTGAATTCGATGTTTTCATTAAATTGGCGTTCTCGCTTTGGTTTCTAAAAAGCACCATAGTTTCTCAAATTTTCTTCAAGCCTTACAAATCTACGTGGTTCTGGAACTCCTCTGTGAGGAAATAGTTCTCTGTAAAGGCGGACTCCTGCACCATGATTTTTATTACACCGAAAATATACCTGAATCATATCCGTCAATTGATTATTACTCATATTTTGCACTGTTGTGCTAATTTCAATAAATAACTACTGTAAATGATACAGAAAGAGTATATTGCGTAAAAAATTGCGACATGAATGCTAAAATGACATTTACTTGTTTTGTTGTATTAGTTTTTGTTTTCCAGGCATACATGATTAGTGAAAATATGTTTGTTAATGTCAATTAAGCGACCGGGCGCTAATAATGCGGTTTTGACTAATATTTTCATGCTTTTTCTATAATACATGTTTCACAAAAATAGACATCGTTGACTTCAAAATAGAATTCTGTACAATAGTAAATAAAAAGACATATTGCCATTTGAAAAAAAAAGTTGACTATCGTTTTTCAAAAAATAATAATAATAAATACGCCCCAATAGCCTCACTCTATAGTGTATTTAGAGCCATTTCATAAAATTTTTTGTTTTTTAAAATCAGGCTATAAATGACGAAGAGTTATGGCTTTAGAAGACAGCTTGTTATTAGTGAAAGAATTCGTCCACCAAATGTGTTGGTTTTTTGAATTTAGTATTTATCCTCACCGTTTTTTTTTTAATTTACTTACTTTTGTATGACAATGTCAAAAATGTTTCAAAATTCCATTTTTTTCTATTTTATGTATTTTACCATTTATTAATTCCATTTGCAATTAGGCCACTTCAAAAAGCAATCCTAAGTAAAATATAGAAATAGTAAGATGTTTCTATCGTGGCTATTTTCAAGTATAGAATTATAGAACAAGACGTGATGTTAGAAAATACAAGATACTTGTTTGAAAGATTACAATTCCAATATTTCAAAATTATAATCTCATTTACGAGGTTTGCCTTTTATATTTTGGGAATGGAAGATCCTGGTGCTGCCATCTGACAACCGACGTCCCAATCATAGTTTGACTTTTTGTCGGTATACTTACTCAGAACGTTTTGTCGTACAGGCACTATTTGTGGTGTTTACAGTGACTTTACAAATGCTCAAAAAAAGGCTTGTGTCGATTGGTCGAAAGAAATGCTCAAGAAATACGATTGTGGTGCTTTAAACCACGTTTATAATATCGTAACAGGTGACGAAAGCTGTTCGTGTATGAAGCACTTCTAAGCAAACGGTCGCCTATTTTTTTTTAAACAATTGGACACGTGATAACTGTACCATTAGTGCAATATCGGACGGTCAAATCTGAATGGTACACCACAATTTGTTTACAACAAGTGTTCGGAACAATAAGGGAAATCAACCACCGAAGACATATCATTCTCCACTAGGACAATATGAGCTCACACACATCAGCTCAAAGAGACCGATAAAGTTGAATTGAAAATAAAGTTGATGAGTTAGCCACCATACAGTCCTGATTTGGTACCCAATGACTTTTTTTTATTCCCTCACATCAAAAATAAATTACGAGGTGAATGTTTTTCGATGCCTGAAAAAGTGGTTGATGCGTTCAAAATGCAAGTTTTGGAGGCACCTCAACCGGAATAGAAAAAGTGCTTCGAAAATTGGTTCAATCGCATACAAAAATGATGGAGAATATTTTTAAAAACAGTAAAATATATGAATAATTTCTTTTTTTATACTCTATTCCCGAAATATAAAAAACAACCCTCGTATAAGGTTAGATATATTTTGCATTCCTAGATTTTTTGATATCAAAAACATTGTTTGACTTCATTTGATAGAATTTAAAAAAAATCATTTCGACTCATTTGATTTAGCTAAATACTTTAATAAAATGACGTAAAAATATGAGTTAATAATAAAATTTATATTAAAAAAAATTGTTATCCTAAAAAAAATAATTCCCAAATTTATAAATACCTGTTGTTATTATATGAAGATAAAATCAAAATACAGCTGATTTGACAGACTAGTATTTTCAGATGGTGAATTTAGCCAAATATGGTTAAGCTAATGCGATATATTATTTATATATTTAATTAAAAGCAGCATACTTTCTTATGTCTTTTTAGACAAAGATGAGTTTATACAAAAAATATTGTGGTGCAGAGGAAATTCGATTTATTCTATTAAATCGGCTTTACTTGAGCAGATGTAAAACTTATGAATAAATAATACATTTTCGAATAAAACTGTAAGTACTGTGGTATTTTGCCAATTTAAAAAAACCGATAAGCTTTAATAATTTTTCATGAATTTTCTCTGAAATGAGGAAGAATCAAAGTCGATAAATATTTAAATATTTATTTTGAAAACTGTATTTAACAATAACTTTTTCAATGATTACTAAACAATACATAATAACGATTAAAATAATATAATTTTTAATATTCATTATAAAATATACGTTTAAAAAATATTAAAGCACGTTACTCTCAACAATCCTTGCTTGTCTAAAATATACATTTGATACGTTAAAATAAATCTCTGATACCAAATCTAATTATCTCTCTCTTCAATACATATTAACACTAGCCTTTTTATATCCGAAATTAAACACATTCCAATTTTCAAAGGAACAACGCCTGTCCTTAATTTTAAAGTGAATTAAAATCACAACCAAAATGTCCTATACATTTATCACATACATTCGTAACGATCTAAAAAGGCGAAACAATATTTCAAAAAATAATTCCGGTCCGAGACCTTTTGAGTCCTTTGAGAACGTGTTTAGTCGTTTGGTCGTTGGCACTATTCATATGTATCAAACATCTTTAAAAGTTAGAAGGCAATACAATACCTATACTTATATTTAACCATGCGTTGAATTGTAATTTGACATCCTTTATAGTTTTTAGAAAAAAAAAATGCAGTTTACTACTTACATTAAAATAAAAACATTAACAGCATTGGTATGTTACGTAATTTTTACTTTTCTGATCATGATTTTTAATTTAATAAATGATGTACAGCTTTTAAAATTTCAAGTGGCATAAAATAAATTATTTCATACCAAAGTTGAAAAAAGCTTCGAAACTTTTAAATCATATGTTAGAGATAAAAACATCAAATACAGTTTTAATGCAATATACGAGGTTTGATCAAAAACTAACAGGAATTTTCAAATTGCACGTGTTATTGAGTCTGTCGAGTTGATTCTTGTAGCACTGTCAGTGATGTACCTGTCAATTTTTAGGTAGGTGCCATGCTTAGTTTGTGTTTTTGGCAATTATTTGTGTGGCGAAATGTTGGATCAGACAGTTTGGTGTTTTGTGTTACAAAATGGAATTAAGTGCAGTGAAGCATTCAAAATGTTAAAGAAGGTCTTTGGCAATGATACTATGTCACAGTCATGAGTATATCAATGGTACAAATGTCGTCAGTAAGGCCAAGAAGACATCGAAGATGGGGCGAAATCTGGTCAAATGTGAATACAAGTATTGCGTAATTTGTGTGAGGCAATCAGGAGAAAACGACAAGAACACAAGAGACTTGTGGATTTTGCACCACGATAACGTGCCGGCAAACTCCGCTTTACTTATCCAATGGTTCGTAGCGAAACACAACACAGTGATGACACAACTACCTTATTCTCCGGACATGACCCCTGTGACTTTTTTCCTATTTTCTAAACTGAAAAGGATAATTACTTGAAGAACAACATTTTTCAAAAATAGATGAGATAAAGGCAAAATCGCAAACCGTGCTCAAGACGATACCTAAAAATGGCACCAGCGTTTCCCAAATTGGAAACTACGTTGAAATAACTGTATATCAGAGGGGGGAGTACTTTGAAGGAGATGGGATAAAAATTGAAGATTAAATAAATACTTTCTAAAAAAAAAATAACAATTCCTGTTACTTTTTGATCAAACCTCGTATTAAACAAAAATTGGGATATCTCAAATGTTAACCATAAACATTATTAGTCGATTATTTACACATTCGGCATGAGATTTGCATTTAGTGTAAGTTAAAGAAATGCCTTCATTTTAGCATATTGGGGAGAAAATGGTTTATTACCAAAGCTTTGTCCATAAAAGCAATTTAAAGTTGTAATCTACTCGGTATAAATTGTGATTCTATGTCTGTACTAGATATAAGTCGATATAAAATATGAATGATTTTGAAAATATTATTTGTTTTTAGCTAGTACTTGTACGGCATTTTTTACTTGTATGGCATTTTTTTTTTGGCACACTTCTAAAGTTTTTATAAGAATTCCCTGACTGAGGTTCAATTTTACATTCAGGAGAAAAAGGGCAGGTTGATCAGATAAGATCAATTTGTGCTGCTGCTGGATTGTCATTTTTTCAAGTACAACTAGAAACTTTTTTAAGTATTTTAGAAATGCACAGGGTGTTTACCTTATGCCCAATCCTGGGCATAGCTTCCTTATTATTAGAGATAGACCAAACCTTATACGTATAACTGCAATCACAAAAAAAGCATTCTATCCAAATATGTATATAAGGTGTTCCATTAAAAAAATTAAGTTCTCTCTTATATCTGAGAATTGACAGCCTGGGAAAAACGCGTATCATTTTACTTCAATCAGATAATCAATATGGAGTATGCCGTTAAAAAAGCACCGTGTATAGTAATAAAATAATTCCACAAGCAGAATGAAAATTATTTCTTATTATTCTGTATATAAATAAAGATAGGTCTTCTGTCATGAAATTAATCTAATTCAGAAGAATAATGTAAAAGTGAGATTTATAAGAATATTTAAAACGTATTTTGAAGCAATGAACAGATCTGTTTATCCTTTTCCAACTGAATTCTTTATTTTGCAACACTACGTCATATACACCTACTTTACAATTTCTTAATCTCCTTAAAGAAAAAATATTTAATACTGAGGGAATTTAATGGTTTACATTTCTTTTGTAGCAAAATTATATTTAGGAGACGTACGTTTTTAAATTTTTAAACAAGTTATACGAAGTCTAAACAAAAGATTTATTATAAGCAAAAATTATGGGTTTGTCATATACAGAGCGCCTCATTTAATACTGTAACATATTTACAGCTTTTTTTTTTTAGTTTCTATCCGATTTAATTAAATTATTTCTCAAAATATGGCACTTATCGAGTTTCATTTTATGAGTAAAACTTTACTCACTTTTCTCAAATGTAAGGCAACTTCACACACGAAAATAATTTGGAAAAATTTAAAATTAGCAATTTTTTTGTAAAAAAAATGTTATGAACAGAAGCTGTTCGAATTACCTAAATTCAAAAGGTTGAATTTAAAAAAGTTGTACTGTCCCTTTCCCATTCTTATTCCTGGTTAGTTGTACGGCGGCCTTCGTTAACAGTATCTTCCCCAATGTACAGAGCCTTCATAAATGTTTACAAGCCACATGACCCCTGAACTTAGGCAACCCAACATTGGTACTGATAACGAAAAATCCCTAAATCTTGGCATCACCAATATTAATGATTTGTTTACAATGAACAGTAACGAACCGTTACGCCTACGCTCGAAATAATGCGATTGCTGATTGGTTGAACAGAATCTAGTGAAAAATTACACCAATCACAGCCGGTGAAACAGTGTTGTGCTTTAACGTAATCTTGATCTTGTTCTATAATTTTTAATTTTACCGAGATTTAATTGCCAACACAAGAGAAATTAAATTACTGTTCCGAACAAAATTACTGTGGTCACATGGCTTGTAAACATTTATGAAGGCTCTGTATAGAATTTAAATGATTTATTCTGTTCTGTTTTATCATTATGAAATGAAGGATATGAACCATATAATCAATCTCCCCAGTATTTTCCAATAATCAGCAATTATTTGAAAAAAATTGTTGCTGAAATAAAGTTTTTATAATATACGGGGTTTGCAAAAAAAATAGGTCTAGAGTTCAAAGTTAAAAGTTAAAAGCAACAAATTTTAATACTTGAAATTCTGCACATACCTGTGCCTCTTGCCGGCACATTTTTTGTGTAATCTTTGAATATAAGATCGGAAGATCTTTATATATACAGTAGAACCTCCATTATCCGGGCCGGCCGGGATCGAACCGTTGCTGGATAATCAAAAACACGGTTAATCGAAATAACGCTCAAACTCACCAATTTTGCAAAAAATATTAACTTTATTACACATACCTACTACATACATTTGTACATATGGAGGTAAATAAATAGACTCGTCTTTGCTTTTGTTTCTTTAACCTCGATCATACGAAATTTGACATATTCGGTATCTAAAAATGAAAAAAAAGGAAAATTATGTACTAAACTGCTGGCTGCCAAACAAAAAAAAAATGATAAACATTAAACATATTCTTAAATCATGAATCTAGACTCAAAACATAACCTCAAATTTATAAATCTTAACCTAAAACAAACATACTCAATTTTTTCTAAACCTGCGAGTATAAATCCATAAAAATTGTACTTTTGAGTGTGCAACCAATATTTTTGCATAACTTTAACTCAAATTCATAGGAAGCTGACCAGGAAACCTGAAAACCTAACCTTTTAGGTCTAGATTCATGATTTAGGAAAATGTTTAATGTTTATAATTTTTTTCTTGTTTGTCAGCCTTTAGTACATAATTTTCCTTTTTTTTTTTTCATTTTTAGATACTGAATATGTCAAACTTCGTATGATCAAGTTTGAGGCTAGAGATTACTCGGTCATTTTGAAAAAATCCTAGGCATATGTTCCAATTACCTCACCGGAACTTTATAGTACAGGTAATTTCGGAAAGAATAAAAATCTGTACTATTTAATTAGTTTTGACGCGTGGCCCGAATTTTTTCCAATATTTCCCACTGTGCGCCACGGATAATGCGCGCATGGATAGCGGATAGTTATAAACATTGCAGCACACAAAGAATCCGCCGCGCATGGAGAATTGGGGTTCTACTGTATAATATTATGCTTAAGACTGAATTTTCTTAAAAAAATTGGTGTATTTTAAAATAATCACTTTGGGATTGGTTTTGGTTAAACGTTTTCTTAATTAAACAAAACAAATATAAGAAATTAATATTCGTTCTGCAATTCGTTTGTACAATGGGGTGTTTTTAAACTTTTTAACTACATCACAAAATGAACATAGTTTTAAAGAATATACGGTCCCGTATTCGTACTTACTGGTTTATAAATCAAGAAAATATGAATATATAAAATGTTCAGATTCTAGTTATCAATATTTTCAAATAACATGGATTTAATTAGTTTCTTAGGAGAATAAATTGCTTTCACAAGTATGTTTTGCAAATGAAAAATCATCGAATTTGTGACAAATCGCTCAATCTGGCAACGATGCTTTCATGGTATTTAATTCCATTATTGAAGATACCGTAGCGACCGCTAGTCGAGGAAGCAAAACCATTGGAATTATAGAATTCCACCTAAAAAATCGGTGATTTTCCAAATGTTTCACTACCCGTATAATAAATTTTTAAGTTAAAATAAAAGCTTTACGATTTAAATTTTTTAACCCCATTGAATTCCTCCATTAAAGATATTAAAAAATATTAAGAAATAAACAATTCAATTTCTTTGCGGTTGAAGAAAAACTGCCCCGTTATCAAACAAACTACCAAAAACAAATAAATAAAAAATTCTTCAAAACCCCTAACTGCAACGCGGATTCTTTACACTCAAAATTACACACAAAAAATGTGCCAGCAAAGACGAAAGTTCAATCAACCGAATATCTTTAAAACAAATGTATTAATAAAGACTTTTCTTTAAATCGTGATTTTGCTGTCCTGTCGTGGTTAACGCTTGACCTACCTTTTTGTAACACCCCGTACAAATTCATTAAAATATACCTCTATCAATTAAAACAGTCCTTAAAACTATGACTAGTGTTCCTGTAGACTAAACCTGAGCGTTACTCAAAGAAGACGGTTCGATCTTGTTCAAACTCGAACCCGCGTGGAATTCCCTGGCGACGCACAGCCTGTGCGCCTTGCACTTGTCATGGTGGTTGACGATTTCTAATCTGAAGTTAGTACTACCTTCCGCGAAGGAGGTGCGGATATCAGGCATGTCGCTGCTCCACTTCCTGCAATATTTGCAAAACATGATGTTCTGTGCCTCGTCGTACTGAAGCCAGATGTAGGATTCCAGCCAAGACGTCCTAAAACGGCTGCCCTTCCTACCGACGTTAGGTTTGACCCCTGTGGTCTTCGGGCTACTTTTCTGAATCACAGAGCATTCGTGTGATGTGGCGGCGGGTTTGTTCAGTTCCGGCGGTACGGGTAGGGGCGTTCTCGGATACAGAGAAGGCATCGTCGACAAATTTATGTGTCCGTGAGAGTTGCTGTAGGTATACTCCGAACGGAGGGGACGGTACTGCGATAGATGCACGTCCTTTTGTTCTTGATGCAGGGGACTGTCCAATGGTCTTATCGATATATTACCGATGGTGGCGTGGAAGGGGAAATCGTGTTCGTTCGACGACTTTTGGCTCACAAGCGGGGCGTCTAAGTACTGACGTAACGTGGAGTGTTGCGGTATCGCAGATAAAGGCAACAGAGGTGGCGGTAGAGTTTCAAGGTCGGGATCCCTCCCCCACGAGTTGGTCTGTCAACAAAGAAGGAAAGGATATGTGTGAATGCCAGTCGCGGTTCACAGCATTTTCTGGTTTATTTACGTTGTAAATACATTTCTGAAATGTTTCGTTACTGAATCGGAATAAACCTTTTTTTAATGTCATTCCCAAGATGTATTTACGAAATTCCCGAAATTTTTAACATTAGATCCCTTCCTTCTTTCGTAGGGGAGAAAAACTCTACCAAATGCACTGCACATCACAAAACACTGCACCACGCATTTACACATATCCTCAGATAAGGTTTTGTAAACCACAAGTCTCTTAACTGTTTTTTTTTTCACTTTTATTAAATTCGAAACGATTTGATGGAGGAACAATTACATTTTAAATAAAAAATAAAAAATTAGGTAAATTCTAAATCTGGACAGCAGTCATAGTAATATTCGTAATACCAAATTTAAACTGGTTATTATTATACAGGATGTTCAAATATAATAGAAACGATAATATATATTAGAAAAATCCATCCTAAGTATCCATTTATTAATAATCTGAAGTTTTACGTCGTCCCCACAAAATTTTAAAAACATTTAAGGAATTCTGGACAGTCGCAACTACTAATATCGGCAACACAGTATGTAGTACTTTTAGTTACTTGCTTGTAACCTTTCTAACACTAAAACCGACTTTATAACACTTAACTTAAAAAATCTATTATTTTTATGAGATATTTATAAAAAATAATATTTTTTATAAAATTATTTAAATCAATGTTAGCACATTATCGATAATACCGACTAATTTTTACATTTACAAATACAGGAATCTGTAGATTTAAAATTTTGTAATATGTCATAGTTTCTTACCGGTACCCGTAGAAATTAAAAGCAAAAGAAAAACATAAATTCACAAAAATAAATATTTGACGATTTGAAAAATTGAAAATATGATGAAACATACATTTGATGAGGTATTTTCTAACTTTTTAACTACATCACAAATGAAAATATATTAATCAACTAGGTATAGGCTTTCTGATATCAATTGAAGAACCAAGACATTGACAGTATTTACGAGGTTCGGTCGCTGACGCAGCAACTTGGCATTGAAATATTTGAAAAACTGGTTCCCATATTTATTTAACCATACCCATATACAGGTCTAATCAAACTAAACTTGGAGGTGGTAGAAATGTAAACGCCCAGTTGAAGAATGCGAGCACGGGCAAACGAAATCTAACACAGCTGCATTGGGCCACTAGGAAATAAATCTCAGCCGTTGACAAGTGGTCGACAAATTGCCCAGCAGTGCAGCGCAGCAATACGGAATTTGGTGTGATTTCAAGTAATTTAAATTTTTTATAGGCACCTTCTATTAATCATTGATATTACAATTGCGAAAGGGAGAAATAAAATTACAAATCCATTTTGGAGACCTTTTGAAATGGAACAAAATGAAATTTATCATCAATATAATAAGATTGTTTGAGGACATAAATATTTAAAATATATTGTTGGCCAAATGAACATAATAGAAATTTTCTACACATTATATACAACTTATTATAAATTTTTACCTTTAGCAGAAAACTTTTTTAGGGACGCCTATGAGTCATTAAATTTTATAGCCGGGCGTTTTTTTACATGTTTTTACTGACTTCGGAAAGACTATACTAGACATTCACAAATTTAATTTTTTTTTGATAATTCGTAATTTTAGTTACAAAAATGGATAGCATTAATATTTTCAGTCGTCTATTTAAAGATGGAAACATCCATTTAGAATATAAAAAACTGTATTACATAACAGAACATTTGAATTAGCGTCTAAAAGTCGAAGTATATTTTCTAACTTTTTTCTGTGAAACTTTATCTAGTTGTACCATTGGATTCTACATCCCCCAAAAGAATTTTGGACAAGTTAAGGGAAGAAGTCGCATTAGGAGGTTAAAAAAAATTGGGGATTTTTTTATTGCATAAATTGTTAATATAACTAACCAAAATTTCAAAATCATATTCCTATTCGTTCTGATTTCATGAGCCTAAAATGGAATGCTCATCGGACACACAGCATGTAGGAAGAACTACTATATGCTGGAATCGCCGATTGATCCGAAAGCACTCTATGTTATTGTAAACTTTCTCAAATTTCTATTTTCAGAAATGTTCAAACACGTTTTTTTCGAATTTGATTCATGGGAACTCCAGCTCAAAAGATATGAACCGATCATTATGCAAATTGAAAGTGTGTTTCTTTATAAAATTACAAAGAACTTGAACCAACAACTGATATGATATAATTTTAATGGTGCATTTTACTCAAAATAAGTGAAAAAAAATGGTGAAAATTGATACATTTTTTTTAAACACTTGTCAAAACTTCAATTTTCACAATTTTGCTTTTAGATCAAAATTGCGACTTCCACATTTCCCGTGAACAACCAACTCGGGCCGACGACCTTTGGTGGACAACAGCTCAACTGCAGCGTTTTTAACACAAATGACTTGAAAAAATTTGTGAATGTAGTTCAAAATATTGATAAAATAATATCAAAGTTTGAACAAATTCTAATCAACAATTTGTAACACTCAAAAAAATTCATGAGAAACGCCTGAAAATCAACTTCTTAATGTGGTTCCCCCCTTAAGAGAAAAAGATTAATACTATTAATATTAAAAAAGATCAATTTCAATTAGGTTAAAATTAAATTTATCTATATCAGACGAAAAACCTGTTTTATTCATAACTTCTACAAAATTTCAGCGATTTTACAATTTTTTGTACAATTCTAGCAAAATTAGAATTGGCCCTGGATATTTTTATACTTCAAACCGTTTTAGTTTTTAATTTCTGGTATCTTCTCTATTATGTAACGTCGTAGCTAGTTTTCATTTGACAATAAATCGTGACTGTTATGAGTGACCTCTGTAACTGGTTCGTTTGCCACCACTGAAGATGACGACAGTGAATAACTGCGAAATGTTTGGAAGCATTAGATGCAGTTACAGGAGCCATTATGGAACATCCCGGAGAACCGTCATTGTCTGAGGAACGGTTCTACCCATAACGGCCATAGGTCCACCAATAAGAACCGAAATGAACATCAGCATTGGCCTAAAGGTTCTGAAAGGCGATCTGCCACCATAGAGCCAAGCCCGAGAAGAAAGTGTAATGTAAGTCTATAACTGGTGGTGACCTAGTACATAGGGCGAAAAACCATAGCCCTTTATGGAGGCACGAAAATTTCTTTAAAACTGAATTTCGTGCATATAACTTTTAATGAATGTTATCAAAAAAATCCATAGACGAAAATAATTTATCTTATTGTGTGATTGACGACTTCATCAAAGTGCAGATTAAAAAACAATGTTTCAGATAAAACTCGTACAAAATCAAGTTAGCCACAGCTTCTGTCTTAAATTACAACACACTGTGTATTTCAGCATTTAATTCCCTTAAGGGTATAAGGGTCACCTGGCGAATCGTTTAAACGAGTTGTTTGACGCTTAAAAAAAATTATATTTGCGATGACTTCAAAAATTTGAAATACCTAGTTCCAAAATTAAAAAGCATAAAAAGGTTTGGCCTGCACCATTTTCTTAAATATGAAGTAGCATTTTTCATTATTTGCATAATATTTCAACTATTCTAAAAGTGCTAAATTTTTTATAATTCCCTAGCATTTTTTCTTAATTTGTGGTATGCCGAAATTATAATTTTAATTCAGTATAACGTTTAATGAATCTACTAATAAAGTATTTTGATTGTAACAAGTAGTTTTCTCAACATTTTCCAAAGCACGCGACTAAAGTACTACATACATGTTACACCAGCGAAATTGAATACCCTGTATAATAACCATCAAAGGCTAAGAAACGATCGTTTCATGAAATGCTTGAAAATATGTTGCGAGAAAAAAATTGTATATTTATACCTTTAACGATACGCACCTTAACGAATAAAAATATAAAATAGAGGTTAACGAAACAGATACTTACAGTCTGCAATGCTTCCGACATTGAGTGAAAAGAATCAACGAGGGGACTCGAATCGTGCTGGGGTTCCTGCTTTATTATCGGTGAGGATACGCGCATATCCTCCGGGCCTACACTATCCCTATCGACCGGCGATATGGGATTTAACTTTGGTACACTTGTGTTTGACCTTTGAGATGCCTGGAAAAAATCAAATTTTAAACAAAACTGGTACGTCATGTACGCCCCATATTAGACTTTCGTATTCGACGGTACAGGGCATATCTGTCCAATAAACAAACAGAGTTTTCATAAATGTTTACAAGCCACGTGACCAGCGAACTTAGAGAACCCACCATTGCACGATTGGTACTGGTAACAAAAAATACCTAAATCTTAGCGTCATCAATATTGATTCGTTTACAATGAACAATGACAAACTGTTACATCTATGCTCGAGATAATGTAATCGCTGATTACTTGAATAGAATCTCATGAAAAATTACACCAAGAAACAAAATAGTGTGTTTTAATTTTACAGAAATTTAATTGCCAATGTGAAGGAAATAAAATTACTAGTCACATGGCCTGTAATCATGAAGCCTCTGTATAAATTGCTGCTCCAAAAAGACCTCTATACCAAATTTCGTAGAAATATATTAAAGAGTAGTATCTTAAACAATTAAATTCAATTCTGTGTAACAAAATAATAATTTAAAAAAATTTTGTTTGAATCTAATCATTATTATATCACTGATCTAAATCACTTTATTTCCATCTAAAGAAGCTGTTCTTGAAGTATTGCCCGTTTACTTCTGGATACCTTCTATGTATCATTAGTATAATTTTGTTAAAGTATGGTTATTTTCAGATAATCGTTTACTAGCTTCAGTAACTTCATTTGATGAGAATTTAGGAAAATTTCTAGGATTAATTTAGATTTAGCCAGATATTAAAAAATATATAATTTAAAAAACTAGTAACTGTTAAGAGTTTTTATGGTTTTTCTTTTAATGAATTATTTATAACGTTGGTTCTCACTACTATTAAGACTTTCTTTAAAAAAATCCATTTCTACCTACATGTTACGTCAATTTGAAAAATATAGATTAATTTTGATAAATATTTTTTACAATCCGTTAAAAAAAGTAATAATATATTCCTGCTTTTTGTTATAAAGTAATACCAAAATTTTAACAGATCTAATGGGTACAGCGAAGAGATTTTTGAAGTAGGAAAAAGGTGTAAGAATAAGAGTTGTAAAAAAACATTTACAATATTCTAATACGCCACAAAAACAACTGAGCATCGAGTTACATGAGGCTTATTAAAGGAACACCTTGTATATTTTTGCATATTTGGACACCCAACTCTATTATGACTATGATTATGACTATTAGGGGTATATTCCTCTTACTAGAGACAGACCTAGTGAAGTGCTTGAATATACAGGACATTCCATTTTAAAATCCTATGTTAAGATTAAACCTTGGTCATACGAGATTCGATTGTTTATGCAACATATGTATTAAAAAATATAAAATGCTTCCAACAAGATAGGAAAACCTGGAAAATTTGGAAAAAATATTGATTGGTTATTTTTAGCTAGTCCGAAATAAACCAAATGTTCCTTGTATCCTTAATCTATCCAGCCAATTCGTAAAAATATCGATTTTTTCCAGGAACCACTAGTTTGCTTATTGACTGAGCTGATACATGGAACTCATTCTGTTATTTTATTTAATAAAATAATTAAAATATATTTTTTAAATCACCTAATAAATATCTAAATTGAGTTTTTTAATGTTAATATGGATAAATAACATCTAAATCCCTTGTTCTAATACATAAAATACAATTTAATTGTTATATTAACTTATTTTTTTATTCGTCCTCTAACATAAATTTGTACAACCCAAAAAAGGGTTTCACAAATACTTACAAAATATTTTAAAAAATTTATAAGTCTAGGTAGTATGTATAGTATAATGAATAATTTTTGTACCTAATAGATTTTTGAGATATTATATAAAATGAGATTCAAATAAATTTAATAAATCCGACATTTCAAGTATTTATTTTATTTGTTTTTTGAATAATAGGTTTTTGTTAGTAAAAATTTAACATTCTGAAGTGACTTGGTAAATCTAAAAATTCAGAGCTCTAGAAAAAAAATTTTTCCAAAGTCAAAACTTCAATAGCGGTTTCTGTCACAAAATAACAAAAAAAATCATTAAAAAAAGTATTTGAAAGTTTTGTTTTTGACGTTTATTAAAAATATAATGATAAAAGATTTTATTCAAATCTGCTACACGACTTTAGTTTCGCAAATGGACATAATAATTTTTTTCTTCAATGATATCTCTAATGTTGGATACAGGTATTACGATAGAGCACTAAATGCTTTATAAAACGTGTTCCTCACACTAGAACACTCTGTTTTCAACATAAATTACAAAATGTCATACTATATGCAGATAATTATTGCTAAAAAACACTAATTTAGATTTTGAAATAATAACAATAATGCAAGTAATCACGATATCCAGGAATGACACAAAATATTCAAATATTTTTTGCAACTTGAAATAAACGATAGCTTTTCATTAATTTTCAACACTGTACTTTGAAAATGAAACTTTTCTGAACACATACCTATGCAAACTGTTTTGATTAATTTTTTAGATAAAAATCACCATTAAAGTTTGGCCAATCATTTTGGTTACACCCTATATAGAATATTAGGTTTTATTATTAGATGTTCAAATTTTGTAAAAGGGATCTGCCAAAAATTGTTGGAGCTTTCACAAACTAAATTTTCACAAAAATAATAAATATAATAATTATTTAACAAAGTCGAAATGTTGTAAACAAATTAAATAATAATAAATAGCATAAAGAGAATTATCTCAGATTAGATTTCAACATTTCAACTCTTAAAGTGTTTTAAATAAATTGGAAGATAAACACGAGATTAAAAATAAAAATGAACATACCTGAGAGTCATTATATCTTTCAGGGTTTGAGTTAGATGTCATATCACAGTTCGAAGACGATTTCCGTTTTCTTTTTTCACTCGGCGGACTGTCCCTTTCCATTAATCTTTCTCTATCTCTTCTTGGCACTTCCGACAATTCATCGTTTTTACTTAAAGAATTGCTATCTGTGAGACCACGTATTTGAAGGGCCTCAGCTGTTTTTAGGAACATAGGCAGAAGGTTTTGAGAAACATTAACTTCCCCTTTATACATAAAGTCTAACAATGCTTTCATTTCGTTGTAATTGACATCTTTGAGAAAAACTATAGGATGAGGATGAGCATTTTGTATAAAAATTGTTTCGAAGTATGGACTACACGCAGACAGTATCGTTTGATGGGCTTTGAAGGTTTCTCCGTCACAGGCTAAAGTAACATCACACAACGCTTCTCTTCTTAAAAGACTACTTAGAACGTCTGTTAAATTTGTAGGGTGGTTGTTCCAGCGCAGACAAAATTGCTGATCCATTTTTTTTATTTACCTGTTAAAACAACATGTTAAAACTAAAGTTTCACCACTAAATATGTTTAGGAGCACTTAAAATAATAGGAGTAAATGCTGAACTGCTGTTTAGAATAAAGTTATGTGACCTAAAACTGTAACCATCTACAAATAACAGTTACTTTACAAGCACAATTACATACAAGAATGCATTTATTATTACAGTAGAGTAGAACAATTTCGATAGATAAAAGAACATACGTCATATTTAGCCATTTCCCTTCTCCAAATGAATGGAAGGGCAGAGATGCGTACGATGAAACAAATATGCCCTTAATTGTACAAAAGTAACAACACAATTTCGTTTACCTAAGGGATAAAATTACACCGTGTCACCATCACGCAACACTACTGCGTATATCATTAAATTTCGTTCACGCAAATACATCTGCTTTTACATGTTGAACTAAATTTAAACGAAAATTAAATATTTTTTTTGTAAACCACGTCTATCAAGTAACCTTTTACCCGCCATTATGAATTTTGTCAGTGATGATTTCTTCTAAAATTATATCTAATTTATTTAAACTTATCACATTACGTCCTCACTTTTTATAACAAAACACTCGCGTTAAGGTAATGTTGTGGATATGATTAAATTTAAAATTATCCGCATACGCAAAAATGAGAAAAACTTACCTTTTTGCCCAGTTTCTGACATTACAACGCCACCCAATTTTCTACCTCCTGCACTGTAGGCAACAAAATCTTGTAGTATAGTACTGTTATTGTTGACTGGGCGAAAAAAATCAAAATAAAATCTTTCCTAATTGTTCCTCAAAAATCTATAATTATTCATTGGCATTTAGCAGTTATTAGATAATTAAATGTAGGATTTTTTTTCAGGAAATTAAAGAAAAAAATGTAATTTAAAACATTTATTTTTAGCCACGTAATAAAATACACCGTTAGTGTATGTTGGGTTGCATAACGGAAGTGACCTCTCATCATTATCTCATCTTATTTTCGTTCCGTCTTCTTATCCTATCTTGATAAATTCCTGCTTGTGTTCGTGTTCAACTTGCTCATGCACTAGTTACTCCGTTAATTCCTGTTTTCTTGGTACGTCCAAAGAGGTCCATTTGGTCTTATAAATGGTATGCGGCGAATTTTTTGAATATTTACAATTGCTTGGTTAATTATAGTTATTTATTTAAATGATTATGTAGATAGTACAAGTTAAAAAGCGAATATAGAAATGTATACAGTTAATCGAAACCTACTAACTTAGAGGTACTTGATAGGTGTACAAGGAAAAATTCTTGGCATATTTTAAATACGCGAAGCCACGGAAGAGATAAATTATCAGTCGACATGAATTGATGAAGTACATACACAACTTGGTTTATAGAGTTATAGTCTACAATATTAAATAGACCTTTTGAACGCATTTTTTGGAAATCATAATTTCCTCAAAATGCAAATACTAAGTTTGCTAACGTATATTAGCACTTTTTATACGAAATCTAATGTATGCTTATTTATTATTAGATTTCATATTTTTGCTTACACCAATATATGGGTACACATTAACATATGTCAACATCTACTATTGTTATTTGCACAAATTAAAGAGAAAAATAACAGAATACTTTGAAGGTTAACGCTGGTTTTGGAAGTGTCCGTCATTATATTGCAAACGTAACCGTACTCTAAGCAATGCTTTTCGTTTTTTGAACATTTTTACTTCCAATTTCATTTACAACTTTTTTAAATATAACTTTCAAATTGTTACGTTATTTTTTCATTTTTTATTCGAATAATAATAATGAAGAACTAGGTTTACGTTTTTCTGTTTAACTCATGTTTGGCGGTGACAGCATTTTTAACATTATGGCGATGTTTCGCATTGTATTGGCTATGTCCTGTCCAAATTTTGTTCGTGCAACTGTCTTGGTTTGACTATGTATGTTTTCAGCCACGAAAATTGAATAATTCCAAATATTTCTTCAAAGGCTTCTATGATCCTTTTTGCTTATTTTTACCCAAGGTACGTCCCTTTAAAGTTTATGCACCCTATATTTACCTCTTATCTAGCGACATTTTTAAATATTATTCAGGTAACAGTACAGATTGCCTTTTTTCGATTCATTAATTCAGAAAAAAAATAGAAGAATTATAATTTCCGAATATACGCGTCTATGTTAGAGTTGTTTCAAAATCTTATGAGTTTTGACCTTCATATGCGCAGAAACATTACATCCATTATTCACAGTCTACCTCGAGCTCTCGTAGCGTAAACAAGCCTTTGATCCGATTACAATCATAATAAAATGCCTATATTCTTTATTATTTTAATTTAGGCACTAAAAATATATATAACGAACATTCGCCAGTTGACTTTATTGATGCTCGAGCGCCTTAGTTCATTTCTGGTTGTAATGAGACACGTGGTCTAATTCTAAGTCAATGTTTTCACAACGTGCTTATTAGAAGAATTATGCGGATACGCCACGCCTTTCGCGCATTTCGCGGCTCATGAGATTTTGAAACTACTCTAACAACATGTAATTGTACACATATAACATTGTCATCCTCTATAAATCTGCTAAATTAAACAAAAATAATGTTAAATGAATGTTTGTAACTATTTATAAGAGCTTATTTATTTTTTCATATTTTTTGTTACTTCATATGTAACGTAGGTAATTGCAACTAAAAAAATGTAGCTGTCTCAAACGCTTATTTGTTATGTTATGATTTACGCGGCTGGCTTGAGGCCCATTGCGATCAAAATAAGTCTGTCACCATTTCCATGAAATATCCTAATTTCGAACGGCCTATTTTTGTACTAGGTGGGTAGGTATGTAAGTGGAGAAATTTGTATAAAATGTAAAATGTGCGAAAATTACATCCTAGTTTGCAGCAAAATGTTATCATTTGCTAATTGATAATTTATTAAGAATATGTATATTTCATTTAAATAAATAATGGATGCTTATGATGCTATACTTATTTTGCTACGCTAAATTTGGCTGGTTTACTCTTTAGTCTAGGAGCCAGATAGGGTTCCGTGGCCAGTCAGAGTGCCACGGCTGCAAACAACTTATTCATAAGTATTTTGACCTACTGAATCCAAAAAACATGTCGCAATGCCTGAAAGTGATCAGTTTAAGTGTTATTAACAAATTTAATGTTTAAATGGCTGTAAAAAGTTGATTTTTATAGCTAGTACATTTTTTTATGCGTTAATAGTTACGTTATCTCATAACAAACATATATTTTTTTGAAAATGATAATGATATAGATTTTTAGTTGAGCTGATGCTTTTTTAAACAAATTGAAAGGTGATTGTTTCCTTTATCATTATTATGTTTTAAATTGCTGCACTTGTCACTTATTTTCTTTCCTGTAAAGTCGATGATATATTTGCAGTATTTGCCGAACGATTATCTATGAGTCAGTGGTAGTTTTTAAAATACATAAAACAGTGTAACTTTTATGTAAACTTTATTTTCGAAAACATACAGTAAGGGACCCATAGATAGCATATTTTTTTAGATATCGTACAGGTTTTTCGAGATATCTTATTCATACATTAAAGTTAGTATTATTCAAATCTCATAGGTTGTGCAAGCCATAATTTTAAGGGATAATCGACACTGTTCCATCCTTAACTTTTTCATTTTTAGCCCAGTTTTTTGTTTTGATACATCGAACTGTTTTTGAAAAAATGCGAGTTTAATTATAGGAGTGCATCGGTGGTGTAATAATAATAGTAACAATAATGATAATAAATTTAAAAAAATCGATGGCTCGCAGACAATGTGTTTTAATTTTGAACAATGATTCAATTTATTAAAATTAAACATGAATACTTTTTTTGTTTATTCTAGAAATCCGAGTGACAATGGGCTAAAAATAAAAAAGGTGTAGATGAAATAGTGGTGAAAAGTTATTTCAAAAAACTATTCCTTACAGAACATGTGAGATTTGATTAATAATATACACTACTGGAAAAAATTAAAAGAACAAAAATATTAATTAATTTTTTATTGATTTTTGAAAGGTTGCATCTCTTCCAAATTAACGTCAAGGATGAAACAAAATTTTTTCGTCGAAAACAATGATAGATCCTTATAAAGAACTTATTCAAGTTTTCAAAACCACTCTTGGCTTTACTGTGCTTTACTTTGTTGCTGAGATATCGATGATTAAAGACAAAAGTATAATTTTTCATTCAACCATCAATATCTCGGTAACCAATAATCATACGAAGATCTTTCAAAAAGCAAATTGAAGATTATTAAACAAGCTAGCTGACCTCTATATTGATTGAGTTCAAAACAATTTTCCTCAGTCCGAGGACACTCCAAAAAAAATATATTTTTTTCTCTTTTTCTTTCTTTGATTCCTCGATAATTACAGCTCAAAAAAATTGGTTGTCAAAATATCTTGAAACTAGAGACATAACGCTTCAAAACGGTTATTTTTTTTAACTCGATACGACAATTTTTCACTGAGATACAGCCGTTCAAAGATCACTAAAAAAATTAAGAAATTTTTTTGTTCCTTTAATGTTTTCCAGTTCCAGATAAAAAATATTTCTTTAGTTTACTTTGTGTAAAAAAGACCACATATGGAATTGTGAATTGTGTCTAATAACCATTGTTGTAGAAATATTTTTGAGTATATTCAATTTTATTTATTAAGTCTTCAAGTTTTATGTAGGACATTTTTGAAAACCGTCTTTGTTTCCAAAGACAGGACAAATAAACCACTTCGGAACATCAGGGACCTCATTAATGTCAACAGAATTTTTCGTCGATAGTTTATTTGTTCAGTCTGGTGAGACAGGGAATTTAAGAGCTTTGCGTTTTTCTGATTAGCTCATTTTTAAGATCATTTATCAATGGTTTCCACAAAAACAGCAGTCAAAAGTAAGTTGATTATTTTAATCTTTGTTAGTAGCATCCTAGCTTGTTCCATGTCTTCCAGAAACGATTCTAAGTTTTTATAGTCATTAATAAAATGTCTAAAGGCTTTGTTAATTCTAATTGGAGTAGTTTCATTGTTTATGTATGTTAGATTACTTGTTTGCTTAGGTACAATTGCGAAAAAAATGAAAAAAAAAGAAAACCTTGGAAATAGATAGGCTTTAATAAAATTTTATGTACAACAGTGTTATTTTATGAGAAATGACGGACATACTGGCAAAAATCACCCAGACATGTGGTTATACATATTATTGTTAGGAATAATACATTTTAAAACAATTATAAAAGTATAAAATTGGTTTTGCTGTTACATAAATCGAATTTAGTTGGATCTTATATGCAGAAATAAATATTAAAGCGACTAAATTTATAATTCTTATATATATTAAGCAAGAATTTTTTGAAAATCATACTTATATTCTATTAAAAAGTAAGCTGAATTAATGTACCATTTGAAGGAACTACATCCATTAGAATTAACTGTATTTAACTAAACTGTTAATATATTGGATGCAATGGAAAATAATTAATTTCCTTGTATTCCATTGACTATTAGCAAAGTTTATATCTATCAAAAGCAATTGTGTCAGTTTTTTTGATAACTTGTTCCCATCATTTATATCTTTTTAAAGAATTGTCCCTATTCTTTTCAAAAATAATTGTCAAAGGTATGTAGCAAGAAGTATTTTAAAAACAGGACAAACCTATTGTGTGTTTAATTAAATCAGAAAAAGAAAGACAGGATTTTTGTATTCGCAAACCACGTGTGCATTTTTAAAGACACGAAATATTTTTTAAAATTGGGATATGAAAAAACATGTATCAAATGCCGAATCTTCGAATTAAATGTTTT